GGATTTTATATGAGCTGCTTGTGCATTTTGTCGAGTTATATAACACCATTGATCCTTGCAATACTTTTCGTAAAATTGTGTAAATGGTTTTGTGATATTGTTTTGTTGTAAAATATTGCAAAGTTAAGAGAGGACACTAGAAGACAGTTATATCAATTTTTCGAGGTTTTGATATTTTAGACAATGGTTAGAATATTTCTGATGAAGCGACTACTGTTAGTCTATAACCAAGATTGCATACATGTTTAAATAGCACATATCTGTTTTTTATGGTGATTATTATGTGTTTTAATTATTCAGTAGATTTTTGTTTGTAGATGGTAATCAACAGAATCCAAAGAATTATTGTTTATATTATAGCAAATATTGCAGTATGAACAGTAAATCATATTGTTCATGATACAGTACTTTTACTGTAGCGTAAACCGTACTTGAAGTTACTATTTATACTACAATATTTTTGATGTATCGTAAACAGTGTAGCAAATCAAATATATTAAATCTTGGATCCTTCTTTAAATATAAAGGAGTAGATATGATTTCTAAATCAAATATATTAAAAATTGGATCTTTCTTTAAGTATATAATGATAGATATGCTTTCTAATTTTAAGCATCCAACAATTAAATCAAATGTATTAAAACTTAGAAGGAGGCGAGTTCAAAATGCAGTGCTTAAAGTCGTGCTTTGCATGAGATGCACATTAGTAATTCAAGAAAGGTAAAATTACTACATTGGTATATTTTGTTGACCATATGTGACAGATTGCTATATTTTCTTATTCTGATGGTGATATGGTATATTTTGTGGACTACGGTGACAAATACATCTTTATTTTCCTGGGGCCGAATTTCTGGTCAAATAGAGTTAGGTGCATCTAACGTGATTGCCAACGTGGATGACGGTTGGAATCATTAAAATGAGCTGAAATGAGGTTTTTTGCTCAAGTTAGGGTTCAAATTGAGAATATTTTTCTTCTTTCTAAGGTTAATTTGGGTAAGGCAACTAAAATTGAAGATGTGTCCATCTCCAGTTATAATTACCCTGACCAATTTAACGTTAAGAATTAGATGGACACCTCTAATTTTAATCGTAACTATTTTTTAGTGCTAATTTGACAAAAACTCCTTTTCAGCCCATTTAATTGATCCTAACTACCATTTACGTTGGCAATCACGTCGGATGCACGTGACACCTCACGTGACCATATTTGGCAGGAATTTAACTCCAGCCAAAGGATAGAGGTATTTGTCAAAGTGATCCACAAAAAAAAATACCATATCATAACCGGAGTAATAGAATATACTAATCTGATAATTTTGCCATTCAAATATAATTTCGCTAGCGATTGCATGCTCTCTTGAAATACTTCTTCTCTGGGGTTCCACGAAATACAATTTTTTTAGCGGAAGTAGGAGCTCTTGAATAGTGCATGTTGAGCTAAAATAAACTCCAGATTTTATCAACATAAAATTGATAAAAGAAAAGGAGAACACTTATGAGTCTCATTTCGCTCATTTTCTTATAACATTGTCCCACTACAATATTATTAAACAGATAATAGAAGATACATTTCGTGCATGTTTAGGAACTTTAGATTATAATACACAAATGGCGTACAATCTAAGTGGACTATAATCTATAATGTTTGATAATTTCAATGCGCTATAATCTATTTTCAACACTAGAGTGTTTGGTAATTGGATGATTATAATCCTTTATTATTGTCAAAATGATCAAAGAGGACATGAGATTGGTGATGAGTTATTAAATGAGACCTTGAATTTTGTGAAATCATAAGGAATATAATTGTCTTTTTTTTGCTCAACCCTCATTACTTGTAGTCCTCCAAAATTAAGCTAAGTACTTTTAACTTATTTTTTGATGGATTATAAGCTAATCAATACTATAAGCCAGTCAAACATCTCAAAGACTACTTTGACCATTTACCAAACATGCTCTTCATATCATGTAGATTATCAAACATGCTCTTCATACAACGTACAACTATTACCCATTTTTATCACTAAAACAAAATTTTTTTGTTCTTTCTTTCCTTTTTCTTTTCTTTTCCTTTTTTCATTCTTTTTTTTTTAGAAACCAAGAGATTCTATTACAAAGCATCAAGATTTATTTGAGTACAAATATGATCTGAATCCAAAAAAGTACATTTATATCTGTAAACAAATTGGACTAAATTGTGAGCACATACATTACTGAGCACAAGCTCAAGACAATCTGTTTACCTAACAGCTGCATCAACATTTAATTTCACAATGTTAAAATAAGTAGTAGACCAAGAGAAGGGCGAGATATATATTAATCTTGAAAAGTGGTCCTGAGTTCATCATGCATGAGGAATGTAAGCAGGTATACTCTTCAGCCAGCGTGAGATTATTGCCGCGAAAACAACTGCAAGGGTACAGTTGATAGGAGAATTGAAGGGGTGGGTTTCATCCGTTGGTCAAACCAAGAAGCAAGGGATATTGCCGGAGACGGAGTCATAATCTCGGTCAGGTTTCAAATGGAGCGGGAGAATTGACGGGTGATAAGTAGGCGATCCAGAGTCTCGATCTCCAAACTACAGAGAGGGCAAAGGGGGTCGATCGAGATGCCAAGCATCACAAAAGAGTCCTTAAAAGGGCAGCCCATTTGTCTAAAGCTCTCCAAATGAACATCCGCGCCCGAGGTGGGATGACTTTGAGCTTTAAATAATTTCGAAACAACCCCCACGACGGAGATGTGGGAGCTATCAATTAGTAGAGAGTAAGGGTGCTAAACCGTATCCGTATCCAGGAAATATCCGTAACCGTATCCGTTAGAATACGAATATGGTTACTCAAATCTATAACCGATAGGATATGGTTATGGATATGGTTTTGTAGTGAAATATCCGTATCCGTATCCGAAATATCCGAATATATATTAGTCATACTCTTACGATAGTTTCGATTCTTAGATTATGGATTTGTGGTTAATTTTGATGATCAAGCTGTCTAATCTCAACTTTTCAGTTATAATGGACATGTTAAACGAACTCTTTTGCATCACATGAACTATGTTTTTCTCAATACTATCTAATTTTCTCATAAATGTTTTGTATCCGCATGCATATCCGCTTATATATCCGCAGGTATATCCGTAACCGTATCCGATTTTAGCGGATATGGTTATAAATTTTTCTTATATCCGTATCCGAGATGGGTAAGCGGATATGGATATGGTAAGCATCATATCCGAGCCGTATCCGGACCGAATGCACCCCTAGTTGAGAGCGCATCCAGAGGAGGTTATATAAAGCCTAGAGGAGAAACAAGACCTTTCAAAGTAAGCGTATATGTAGATTGGCCAGGAACAGGACATCAATGGATAGGCGTGCGAAGCATTTCACCGACGATGGTGATATAAAAAATTGAAGAAATTAAGTCCACGTTCCAAGAGCAGGTGTCAGGATCAGTAAGGTCCTCAACCATGGAGATGTGGAGGGGGAAAGTGTCTGGTCTCAGCCTCAGGGGATGACTGGACTGGTTAGCCAACCATAAGTCATTAAAGATATCAATACATCCACCATCGCCAACAATCCAAGGACAACCAATTTTGGTCAAGTTCCTACCTTTCAGAATGATTCCCCCACGATGTCGAAGCCGAGGGCAGGGGAGAAATGCACCAGAACTTTACTAGGGTCTTTGTATCTTCTTCCAAGGAATGAAATGGGCTTTCCTTTGAGTTTTTTTTTTTGAGAAAAAGGATGAATTACTGTTAATCATAACAGTAATTCAGCCAGCTAAATTAATAATAAAACTTGGTTGTTACAAACAGATACACACCCCCAACCAAGAGTGTGTACTCTAGTTCAAACAAAAATTACAAATCAAAAGAACTCCTGCTCCACAACATAGGATTATCCTTTCCCAAAGCAAAGAAGAAGCTATCAACTACTACCAAAACAAAATAGCAGATCACTGTATCTTTAACCAGAGTGGCTTTCCTTTGAGTTGTATCATGATTCCGCCAAAAACATCTGTATATTTGATCAAAGTTTATTGCATGAGGTAGACAGGATAGATTGAATGGGAACGATTCTGCCGGCTTGAGAAAACACTTTTTTCCTTCCATCCCATCACCTCTTGGATTTCAAAAGCGAGAAAAACAGTAACCTAAAGAGAGCAAAAAACCCCAAAAAACAGATCCCAAACTTACGTCACCGCTGGGAACCAAAGTACAACTACTACAACTTCCATCTTTGTGACCGGGGCAAAAAAGACATAAATTCCCAGACACCGGTGACGAGAATTGGGGTTCTCAGTCATTATGTCTTTCTTTTCATAGACGTAGAGCTAATATCAAAATATATGCAGCAACAAAAGAATTTTTGAACATAGAAAGTTAAGGAGCAACTTGTAAAACAAACAATTGTAAACGTATATGTCGAAATTTGCATCCTTCAATCTTTCCCACATGTATAAAAGTTCCTAACATCACGTAAAGAAATCAGAACTAAAGCCGACCCCCAACATAAAGCCCAACGCTACAATGACATTGGAGTGCCACATTATATCCATAGCAAAAACCCAAGCACATACTTGTTTCATCTCAAACTAGTCTACAGCCATAATCCTTTTCCCACAACATGAAAATGTAACAAACAGAAATAAGCTATACGCATGTCAAGAAACCACATTAGAATTCATTAGATCAACTGGAAGGAGTCAAAATGTAAAGTTCCTTAGCGTTTGGAGTTATTTACTACCTTTTTACATCATCCTAAACTTTATATATACTTTGATAAAAGAGCAAGTGTACTTTAAGGATTGCCTTTCTCAGGGCAGACGAGATGGCTACTTAGCCATCCACTTACCTTCATAGAAGACGATAATATGTGCACATCTGGATCAGCCAGTTCAACTATCAGAGCAAAGCGAGAGAAAGGATTAGAATCCAACAAAATATTAAGCACAATTATATGATTTAGTAGCTGACGAAGAATATTAGATCTGCCCAAACAATTTACTATTCCCGAGTGACATTTATATGCATATATTTGTCAACCCTTGCAATGATTGTTAAACCATTTTATTTTATTTTCATAATAGGCAATTCAATGAAAAAGATTTAACAAACACAGCGACATAAAACTCCACTTTCAGCAGGGTACTACCTTAACATCAGAATTATAACCAAACTTCATTGGAAACGGTAGATGATCTACTAACTTTATGGTCAGCAGATGCAGCAAGTGAAAAAAGGGTAACGTATGCTATGTGAAGAAGCTAATAACAACAAATGCCTAATCCTAAGCCATTAAGATTTTCCATTACAAATGAACTACTTAGCGAGACAGAGAGTATATACATTCTTCCAATTTGAAACACATACACTTGGTTGTTTATTAAAGATACATGTTTCAGATTTACTCAGAACAAGGGCTCATATGTTTGTTCCCCTAAAAAAGGGGTTCATACTTTTCGCTGCCAGAGGGGAAAAAAATAGTTACATATTTTTTCATAGAACAGCATGAGATTAACTGAGAAAAATGGTTTCCTGATCTTCACTTTTTCTAATAATTGAAGGGGGAACCAGGATAAATCCCTATTAATATCATAATGCATTTTGTAGTTTCAAGATGTTAAGGCACTACTCTTGTTTCTTTATCACAACTTCAGTTTGTGTCTACTTACAGGAAGGGAAACTTCCTAAAGTGGAACTTGAGCACAGATGACTTTTATCAGATTTGTTAAACACAAGCAGTAGTTTAAGTTAGAAAATAAAATGGAAATATTCTAGAAAACTTCATTTAGCTGAATTCAAGATGCTCTAAGATGTTTACCAGTCAAGTTCGTTTCCTTTTCGATGCTTTCAGTTGCTTCAGTATATATTGAATGACTTCTTTCAACGTTGCTTTTCTTCCTTCTTTATAGTTCCAGAGCTCTGGAATAACGTATCTGCCACTGGGGTTGTAAGCATTGATCTCTATCAAGGCAGTTGTTACTGCATTGTAGACCTCCTCACCCAGCTCTTTTCTCAAAGAAACCAGCTTTTCATCATCTTCTCGCAATACTTCCTGCACAAAATACCCATTCCACATAGTTCAATAATACAACAGTTTTGCAAAGCCAAATGCACTCGTCCACCCCAACAAAAACACACCCACACTCCCATACAGATGCAGACCCACACACATATATAACTAAAAAAAAGCAATATCCTGTCATTTTAGAAAGGAGAAAAAAAGGAAGAAGAAGCATCATACATAGTTCACATTTTATAAAAGGTAACTTTACACTCTTTAGTTTTCAAGTTGGATCCTACTTGAATATGTCCCTTATTTTAGACATTGAATGAAAGAACATGAGGCAGCAGAAAGAAGATAAAGCTGTTGATCAAGAAACCCCAAAGCATATGCTAATAAATGCATAAGTGAATTTCATAATCAACGTATAAAGTTTCATGTTGAAAAGGTGTCTCACACTAGAAACACAGAGAAGAAACAAACAAAACGACAACTAACGTACATTCTTTCCAATTGCCATGAAATTGTCCGCATATTAATCCAAAGACACTAATGAAAAATAAATCAGAAACAGATAAAACTAGTTAACGTAAGCAGTTATTTATGCAAGCATGCTAAGAAACATTTAACTAGTTTCCAACTTACAATACTCAGAACAGATGAAACTAGTTAAAGCACTCATTAATATAGAAGACAAGCAATAGCATTGAGGTTTCTGTAGCAGGTCATGGAATATGGGTGGATATGTTCGGACCATTTACCGAACAAAGCAAGCTCAGGACACTAAGTTGTAATATAAGATACTTCAGTCTCTTGATGGAATAATTTGCAGCTACCTCGAAAACAAATAAACAAATAATAAAAAGAAGAAAATCTGCTGATCTTGATTATTACCACACCCAGAAGAATTTAACGACCTACTTTAGTGTAATCACTAATCATGAATGCCAAAAGAGACATTTAATAATATAAAGTTACAAATAAAAAAACTTGATGCAAGTCTAAAATTGATCACCAATGGAGATAATATATCTCACCTGAGTCTTGTCACCGTCAACAATTACTTTAAATGGATGCCAATCTGGATTCTTCAAATACTCTTGCCACTCTGAACAAAACTCTGCAGCTTTCATATCTGCATCAGCCTTTGCAAAGTTTCGTCTACATGCAATTTCAAAAGCTTTCGGATCAAGTTCACCCATCCTCTTTATCCCGATCAAATTAGGACTGCTCAGCATGTCCAGCAAACCCTATATATGAAGATTACGTTAGTAGATCCTTATCCACTGGAAAACAAGAAATTACCCACAACGACAAATAAATAAAACAGTCCATACTGTCATGAGTTCTTTACGAGCATCTTGAAGCTCATCATTGCTCATTCGCTCTTTGACAACAAGAGTTTGATTAAGAGCTTCCAGACCCTCCATTTCTTCAATTTTCTCTTGTAGTTCTCCACTCATTTCTTCCATTTTTTCCTTCTCGCTGGAATCATTCTCCCCACCCATATGCTTCATCACATTTAACTTTCCTCTCAACTGTTGTATCTCCAGTTCCAACTTTTGTTTTGCATCCAATTGCTTCTCTAGGTACAATATTTTGTTGAGCGCAGCCTCTTTTTCTCTCTACGCATTAGACTTAGTCAGATGATGGCTTCAACCAATATTAGGCTTAGTAAACTATTCAAGTTCTGTATAGAACATCAGAGTAAAAGAACAAACCTTCTGTACTTCAAAAAGCTTCAGGACATTTTCATCAGCTTTTTTCTGCTCCAGGGATGCCATTTCAAGAGAGCTATTCCTCAAAGCATTCTGCAGGGAAGGACACAAAATTAAAGTTTAAATAAAAGATTATAATACGGTTAAGCTTTTGCTAAAAAAAGTATATTCCTGACTAGGATGGTGTACTTGATACTGTAGAGTAAAAGTAGGTATGTAAGCTTATTAAACTTAGTATAAAGTAGCCTTGAACTAGGTTACATGACATATCATAGATGGCATGTGTTGCTGCTATATACTAGTTTACATGCTATATAGCCAGTCTCCACTCAAAGTTAGACAACAAAAAAGATGAAATCGTTGGTTTGACCACTCGATTCAACAACTATACACAATCTATAAGTTTCCAAATGAAATTGAGCAACATTACACAATAGCAAATTCTTAAAAACATATATTTTACTGAGTTTGATATTGAGGTCAAATCCATTAGAATTTTTTTCCAGGTGTTCCTAAGAGCTACTACTCTGCTGTCCATAAGCTTTGCAACAATCTCAACCGACAACACTATTCATTGCAAAATTTTGTAAATATGATGGGGATGTAAACCTACATTTTCAAGTAAAAAAAATGAGTGCATAGTGAAGGTTGTGTTGCATTCATTTATTCTTAAACTTGAGCTTTAAATCAAATTAGGTTATATTTTGCAATATGTACAAAGATGGTTTAGCAGGTAGCCATGCAAAAGATCACATTCAAATTCATTCTGCAACGGATGTTACACATAAGAGCATTCAACCTGTTTACTCACAAAATAAGCAGTCCAGGTACTACTTTCAGCCTGTTTAGTTGCAAGCTAAATTCTTAGCATACATCAAAGAGAACAGCATGATGCTCTTTTCATCATACTCTCATTGTCAGGAAGAAGATAATGTTAATCCTCATTTTGCCTGGACCAATTGTCATTCTTTCATCCGCAGGCAATACTAGATTAAAAGGAATAATCAAGTGAACTATGGAAGTTAATGAAAATTTGTTTTGTATTGAGTAGTTCTAATGATAGTTTTTTGCAAGCTCTCTTAAAGGCATGCAGGAACATCAGACTATTGCTACCTTCTGTTTCTCAACAGCCAATTTGCACTTCTCTTTGTCACTCTGTGCGACCAGATTGTCCAATTGTTTACATCTTAAATCAAGTTCCATTCTTTTGGAATCCAACTGAGCACGTAAACGTTCATTCTCCTCAAAAATCCTGCGAGAGTGATCCCGAGCTAGGCACTGCATCTTCTGTATTTCTGAAATCACAAAATAATTGCAAATCTTATGAGCACCTATAGAAAGAGGTCTGCAGAAAACATAACTACATATGAACTTGCTCGAAATCAAAATGACTGCATGTTTAAATGTAAATATACGACTCATGAGGGAACAGTTTTCTTAGGCAGAACCTGAGTTGTGATCGTTAAAATGAATTAAAAATGTGTAGATGCATAACCAAATGTCCCATGAAACTAGTCCCATCAACAAAATAAACACAATTAACAAAAAGCATGGTTAACTATAAATTAGATCAAGCTGGGTTTTATTTCAGTGCATTTCCATACTCTTAGGGAAAAAAGAAGGGAAAAAAGATCTATATACCAATATTATAAGCTTGAAGTAATGCCTCCTTCTCTTCCATCGCCTTATCAAGGGACAGATTAGTTTGATTATACATGCATTCCAATTCTTGTAAATGTTTATTTTTTGCTTCAATCTCATTTGCCAGATTTGCTACAAGTTTATCCGTTTTGCGAGACTCTTCAGTTGTAAGATCAGTAATAGTTTTCAAATCTGCATTTTTATGCAAGTACTCCCCAACAGGACCCCCGGAATTGTAATCATCAGCTCTTGCAACCCATCCATATATCTCCGACGAATGCTGCTTCTTCTCATGCCAATCATTTTTACCCAAGTGCTTGGCTTCAAAGTGAGTTTCAAATGCCATTGCATCTTTAAATCCAGTCCAGTCCTTCTTGAAATCAACAATTGCGTTACCAGTGTGGCCTCTGTAGTTCCATATAGGAATGACTTTTAAGGGATTGAATCTAGACAGCTGCTCTTTCAGCTTTGTCCCACTTTCACCAACATGTCTTCCATTTCTCCACTCAGTTGGAACATTGACAAGGACACCCATCCAAGGAAACACAAAAACATCTCCCTCCTTCAGCTTAGATGACTCCGGAGTTATGACTGTCAACTGCAATGATGGGTTTGGTTCAGCAACCTCATTCTTCAGAAAATTTGCCAAAGCCCTGTGTCTGGCCTTCACTTTTGCTCCACGCTTAGATGATATACCAATTCCATTTGCATGTTGCAACAAGTCCTTGTAACGGTAGTCCTGTTTCTTTTTAGCCGCACAGAAAGGGCACTTGTAAGAGTTTTCTAAGGCTTCTACTTTAAGTTCACCCATCTTAATATGTTTGTATGATTTATCCTCATACTCATCTATCTCAGAGTCAGTTATCTTTGAGGCTTCTCCTTCTGAGCTGTCCATGGGGACTAAAGTAAGCTGAAACAACCATAAAACAAATACAAGATGTCCTAAGTAGAACCAGTAAACAAAATGCAGCAAAGCAACAATAAGTAACTAAGATATCTGAGTAGAAAGCATTACAGTCAAGGACGTCAAATATGAAAAAGCAACTAAGGGCAGCAAAGCAACTGCAAATACTGAGCAAGTGAAAGGAAGCAACAGCCAACAAGAGCTCTTAATTTATTTGGACATGAAAAAAATGTTGATAAAGGAGAATAGCTTTACGCAAGAGAGACAAGTCAACCTCAAATTTGTCTTTAGCAAACAAGAGTAAAAATAAGCACTAAAGAATAGAATCTTTTGAATCATAGTATACAGTTGTTCAAACTTCAAGATATAGCTATCTACAGAGAAGCTACTCGAGTTCTCAATGTTGTTATTAATTAGAACTTTATCAGCAAACAAGAAAATTGTCTCAAGGAAATGACTAGAAATGGCACAAAGATAACATACTTTGATTATATATAGATCAAAATAAATCGACGAATATTTTCATTTAATTTTCAAATAGTTTTCTACCACTCGATGGAATGCTTATTTACAACAGTATACTAATTGAGGAGAAGAAACAATCAAACTAGGCACTCTCGATAAAGCAGGATACTCTTGTTAAAAGTTTTAGAAATGAAATATTTCGATCCACAAGATTATGTGGCTGTAGTGATACTGCATTCTATTCCAACATAGATGACAGCTTATTCAGCAAGTAATGCTTACAGTTAAGGAAGAACAATATCAGATAATATGCAATTTAACAACATCTGATCCACAACCCAATCAGGACTAACATGTACGAAGAAGGAAAGGACTCATACTAGATTTTTGGTGGTACCTGGCTTTGGGCTTATGCTTTGTTTTCCTACATGCATCTTTCTCTTTCTGTACTTCAAGGCAAATAAAAAGATACAAGCATTTAATTCCAAAGTGAATAGAAGCCGTTAACTCACAAAACTCAGAGAAAGAAGGAGATGCAAGCATACTCAGATAAGACAATTTAAGTGGTTACGGTCAAGGAAGAAGAGCTTATGAACTAAAAGCTAGTGAACATTGAATAGAGGTGGATGACCTGACTAGCAATCCTCCAACAGAGCTATTATACCTATGACTTACAAGGCAAACCAAATGCCACATGTTGAAATCATGCAAACTTAAAATGCCTAATGGTTGCCTTTTTAACATTTCATTTCTACGAGAAAATTCAAACGCGTAGAAGCTGTTCTCGACAATATCAATAGAAGTTGAATTCCGATTTTAAGCCTAGGCCAAATAACCACAATCAACCTTGGCTCACAATTGTCACGTGACTCACATCATTCAACAATATAAGGCAGCAAGCCAAAACCAACCTGGACACAGACCTTGTTTGAAAGAACAAAATCAATAACCAAAAATGAAATAGATATACAATTAGATTATATGACAATGATAAAAGTTAAGCTCCTACTGTAACAAATACATTTAAAATTTATAATGTTTGTGAGTTTGTTTATAACCAAATACATATTTGCCTAATTATTATGAAATGGTGCTAATTATGTGGATTACCCAAAATCACAATCTCAACGACAGCACCTGAATTAAGAAGCTCAAACAGTAATAACAGTGCTGTCCAACAGATCCACAGGCATATTATATACAGTCATACTATGGTTACATACATTGTTTTAGTGCTCACTTAAGAGCAGCAATTAATCCGAGTCTCCGAAAAGGGAAAGCCCGGATATATAAACATGCAAAGTTAATTATAGCACAAGATCAAATGCATTTTGGACTTTTAGTAACTGCAACACAGTAAATAGTTCTGGATGGAGCTCCTTGCTTTCATCCTATCCTATCCTAAAGCTAAAAAGCAAAAGTAAAATAAACAAACAAATAAATAATTTTCCTGTTTTCGAGGACATTGCAAACCTAACAATTCATAATATTATCTTCACTAACAGTGAGCAGTTCATTCAAAGCAATAAGGCTAACAATTTAAAAAAAAAAAAAGTTTATCTACTGTTTCATTCACTGAATCCAAAAAAAAAAAAAATTGGCTGTCAACCCTCACAATACCAGCAGCATTCAGAAATCAAGAACATCCAAAATGCTTCTGTCACCTAAAACCCCAATTTCACGAACATGCAAGCTGCTTATCATTTAATCAGCCGCACAAAAACAAAATTAGCACTAAAAAACTACACAAAAACACATTAAAAGTCGGAAATCGCCATTAACTCCAATGCAAATAGTAAAACGCTCAAAACAAAAGAAATCGCAGCAAAATACGACAACATTTGAAAATTTCACAGGTCTATTTCTAACATCTTCGACACATTCTCTTTCTTCTATTGTTTCTATCGACATCTCTGATCGTAGAACTTAACAAGATTGAGGATAAAAACAGCCCTAGCTCCGAAAGAAAGAAAGCAATATTTAGAACTGATGGTTGAGATTTTTGCAGGAAATGCAAGAAAATCACTAGTGTTTTTTTTTCGATTAACAAAGTAAAAAAAAGGGATTTTTAGGGAGATTTACCTCAAAAAAATTTCCCTCCACTCTCTGTAGAAAATTTCCTTGCGGCGCAAGAGCGTGAAAAGGTAGAGCTTTTAAAAAAGGAAATTTTTATTTTTGGAGTTTAGCGCCTCTTATTAATTGTTTTGGAATTTCATACGACTTCCGATGGAAACATACAGGCGGGTGGTGGGGGACATCGGCGGCACGTGCAGCGCACCAGTCACATGATACGGGCGCACGAAAATTGACGCGTGATGTGTCGAAAACTTCAGCGTCTTCACAAATACCTGCTTTGATTTATCCAGTTTGTCGCTCGTAAGGCCGAAGCTACTGGATAGAAGCCTACGAGTACGGGGACTAATTTTGTTTGAAGCCCTTCGTAGAACCATGTAAAAAATTTCTTCATAGGGGAGTTATCTTAAAAAGTGGAAAGCTTTTGTCGAATAACTGGAAATAATTTTTTGAAATGAATATCTTAATAAAATGTTGTTGGATAATTTCTAAATAATTTATATCTATATTTAATTTATATCATACTTCCTTTAAAGTACGAGTTTGTTAAAATCTTTCCAAGGTTAATATTAATATTCGCTATTTTAAATATTATTATTTAAATATTAACCTATCATAATCATAATTGTTTTTTATCCTGATCTCATGTGAATCACCTACAGCTCAACAATTTTTAAAAAAGAAGATGAAGAAAATACACGAAACAACTATATGGTATTAGTTTGTTAAGGTAAAGAACTAACATACTATAATATATGAAGTATTACAAAAAAAAAGTAAATTAACTTTCAATATAATGTTTACTATCTCTTTTCAGCACCTAAAAATAGTCTAATTTTATCCAAAAACAAAGGTGGCGAAGGATTGATGTCGACTCAATAAAAAAATGAAACAAAAAGGAATGAATTATGAATGACAATGTTATGAATGTTTTATAGAATGGTTTATTTTTGGGTAAATTAAGAATTTTTGGAATGAATTTTCACGAACTTGTTTTAATACTTTTATATACTTATGTGGATGCTTTAATCATATAAAAATGTAATAAAGTTAGAATTTGTTGTAATATACTAAAGAAATGAAACGAAAAATGGACAAGAGACAAGAGAATAAGATAAATTGTAATTTTCATTTCCATCTCCTTTTTTTCATACATCCACCAATTTATAGATACATTGTGGAAAACAAAAAGACATTGGACTAATGAAAAGTCACCAATAAATATTCCACATTAATAAAGTAATGTCCACATTCATTTTGTCTTTTAGGTTTCCACAAAATGACTTTTGGATTTTAACACTCCCCCTTGGACATTACTTCAAGATGTCAATGCCTCATTAAAAACCTCGCTAGAAAAACACAGTGGGATAAAAACTAGTCGAGGAAAAGAGTACACGACATTAGTAGATTCTTGTTGCATTAGTTGCCTCATTAAAAACTTTTAACTAAGAAAACCCTATGGGACAAAACTTAGTAAAGGGAAAAAGAGTACAACTATAGATCTTCGGGATCCAAACTTGTGTTGCATTAGTTGTCTCATTAAAAACCTTTAGCTAAGAAAACCCTGTGGGACAAAATTAGCAAAAGGAAAAAAAGAGTACAACTATAGTCCTTCAAGGCGCAATCTTCGGGATTGCATTGAAAATTCGCTCCCCCTGATGATAACAATCTTCTGAGTCTGCGCATTGAAAATATGACGATAGACCTTCAGGGCCCAATCTTCAGGATTTTTCTTTAAGAATTTGCTCCCCCTGAAGACGATAGTCTTCTAAGTCTGCGCATACCAATATTGTGAACATATTTCTCAAAAGTTGATGTAGGCAGAGATTTGGTGAACAAATCTGCAAGATTGTCACTTGAGCGAACTTTTTCGATGGTGATTTCGCCATTCTTTTGGAGCTCATGTGGATAAAAGAATTTTGACGCAATATGTTTTGTCATGGTTCCATTTACATATCCACTGCTCATTTGTGCAACACAAGCTGCATTGTCCTCATAAAGGACAATATGAGTAATATCATCTTTCGCTGGACCACACGATCCACGAATGTGTCGTATCAACGATCTTAACCATACACATTCTCGTGAGGTCTCATATAAAGCGATAATCTCTGAGTGGTTATAAGAAGTAGTCACCATAGTCTGCTTAACAGACCTCTAAGAAACAACAGTACCACCACAGAGAAATACATAACCAGTCTGGGATCTGGCGTTATGGGGATCAGACATGTAGCCAGCATCCGAATAGCCCACTAATGTCATATCTTGGTTTCTTTTATAGAATAGTCCAAGATCTTTTGTACCTTGAAGATAGCGAAGGATATGTATAACACCATTCCATTGTCTCCTTGTAGGAGAAGCACTATACCTTGCTAGCAAGTTCACCGCAAATGCTATATCAGGCCTGGTGCAATTTGCGAGATAGAGAAGTGCTCCAATGGCGCTCAGATAGGGAACTTCTGGCCCTAACATTTCTTCATTATCTTCTTTGGGTCTAAATGGGTCTTTATCCACTTCGAGGGACCGGACAACCATTGATGTGCTAAGTGGATGGGATTTGTCCATATAAAACCTTTCCAAGACCTTTTTCACGTAGGTCGACTGGTGTAGAAAAATTCCTTCTGGGAAATACTCGATTTGCAGGCCGAGACAAAACTTGGTTTTTCCCAAGTCTTTCATTTCAAACTCCGTCTTTAGGCATGAGCTAGCTTCTGTAAGCTCCTTGTGCGTTCCAATAACATTTATATCATCAATATAGACTGATATAACACAGAAGCTATTTTTGAATTTCTTTATAAACACACAAGGACAGACATCATTATTTGCATATCTCCTCTTCAGGAGGAACTCACTCAGTCGGTTATACCACATTCTACCCGACTGTTTCAAGTCGTATAACGACCTTTACAATTTAATGCTATACATGTTACAATTCTCGTTTTCTCTCAATTCAGGAATTTTAAGTCCATCAGGGACTTTCATATAAAAATATTAGCGTCTAATGACTCATATAAAAATATGGTCATGACGTACATATACTGCATATATAAATTCATAGTTTCTGCCATAGGTATTAACTTGCGGAACGTAATACAATCACTAATATGAGAATATTTTACATCTAAATCGATGTCGGGTCTCTGCGTGAACCCATTGAGCTATGAATCTCGCTTTATATCTCACCACCTTACAATTTCATTTATTTTTCTTACGAAGACCCATATATATCCTACAGGGATATATGAACTACAGGTTCAAAATACTTTAGCGAGTTCAGCTCAGCCTCAATTGCCACTTTCCATCTCACCTAGTCCGAGTCCGAATGCTTCAAGCACTCTATTACCGACTTTGGATCCAGATTATTTTCGAAGATAGTAAGAGCAACTGTAGAGGCAACTATGTTGTCGACAACTTTTATATTTATATTATATATTTCTCCTTTTTCACAAATTCGTGGCCACTTCAATTCTTATTTTATGTCATACAGCAGGAATATGGGACTTGGTCACTCCTTTGTGATCAGTGAATGCGTCTGGCAGCTTATTTGCCAAATTTTGCAAATTAATTATCTTCTGAACTTCGAGTTCAGCCTGACTAGTTCGTGGATCTAAATATTGAAGATCTTTTTCATACCACGATATTTCCCGACATTCATTTAATTTTTGGTGTTTATCTCCCCCTGATGTCGGGATATGATCTTCATCGAATATGCAATCAGCGTACCGAGCAGTAAATTGATCCCCTGTCATGGGCTCTAGGTATTTTATAATTGACGGAGTTTCATAACTAATGTATATACCTAGTTTTCGCTGAGGGCCCATAGAGGTACGCTTGGGTGGTGATAATGGAACATAAACTGCACATCCGAAAACACGCAGATGGGAAATGTTTGGTTCTTTACCACGCACTAGTTGTAAGAGGGAATAATCATGATATGCAGTGGGTCGGATTTGGATTAACGCAACAACATGTAAAACGGCATGTCCCCAACAAGAAATAGGTAGTTTTGAATTTTGTAATAACGGTCTAGCTATTAATTTGATTCTCTTAATTAACGATTCTGCTAAACCATTTTGAGTGTGGACATAAGGAACCGGATGCTCTACTTTAATGCCCAATGCCATACAAAAATCATCAAATGATTTGGATGTGAACTCGGCAGCATTATCCATACGAATAGATTTAATTGGAAAATCAGGAAATTGAGCTCGTAATTCAATGATTTTTGCTATTAATTTAGCAAAAGCATTATTACGGGTGGATAACAAGCTGACATGAGTCCATCGAGTAGAGGTATCGATCAAGACCATTGTAGGCTGTCTAAAAATCACAATAGATAGCTGATCCAAATAAGCTCCGACAATGGAGGTCACAATCAGACAACTTCCCAATCACTGCATCCGCAACTCCACAATCGCCACAAACACGACCTCACTTCTGAGATGATTGATCTTGATGGCTGCGACAACAGCATGAATAGTATTATTAGCAACTATTGGAGATGCTGATGAGCAGTGGGATGATTTCAGAAATAAAAGGTTGGACTTAGTTGGTGGGTTGCTTGGTAGAGAGCTGTGGGCAAATATTCATCTTTAAGACACTATGGATGTTGATTCCCGTCTAGCTCCTACAACGAAAGCTACAATCAAATAGCTTTCGGGTCGGTGAACGAAAGTTGCGAATGGAGGGCTTTTCACATAGATCGAGAAGAGTTACAATTCAACGACACTTCCGACGACGGATGAAAACTCTATTCAGCAGTCTTCACAATCTACAGTGAAAGTTACAATCTGACGACTTTGCACAAGCCAAACGTGAGCGACCCTCGCGTTCATAGGGGTTCAACCAACACTGACCCCCGCGTTTCCAAGCAGGCACAAGCCAAAACGCGAGCGACCCTCGCGTTCAATGGTGTTCAGCTAACACCCAACCTCGCGTCTCAATCCTAAGAAGCGAAGTTGGGTTCTGAATGCCAGATTGGGCGTTTGACTCGCTCAAACATGAATCGAACGGTTCCAAAACTGTTTATCCCACGTCCTGAGGGATTTTCGCCCACGTAGGAGCGGATATAGAGGTCAGTTACAACCTCTTATCCCCCTATAAAAACTC